GTGATTGTAGCATACACAGCAGCATTATAATTGGGATGCACAATAAGATTCAGAATTAGAGCTTGCTTCCACCTTTGCTATAGATGACATTCTCCTGCAGACCCAGCAGGAACTCAAGCCTGGATAGCTGTGGCTATGATCGTAGTAAGATGGATCAGTGTGATACCCTGAGTCATAATGGTCTAAACTCACATTCAGTAAACACTTTGTATAAAGGACTTGCCAGATTCTTTTATAGGTATACGTATATTTCTGTATATCCCCACCCCCTTTTATTGAGCAGAGCACCTCCTGTCCTTTGATTTTGGCCAGTGGAATTTTGGTGGGCATGACATGTTTAGTAGACTAGATACTGCCTTCCCCTACCTTCTAATCTTATAACTGTGGATATGTTACCTAACATGGTAAAAGGAACTTTGTAGGTGTGACTGAATTAAGGTCTGAAAATGGGAAGATTATCCTGGATTATCCAAGTGGGTCCAGTGTAATCACAATAGGCTAGGACCAGAAAAAGCTGATGTGAAAACAAGCAAAATCAGAGATTGGAAGATGCTGCACTATGGCTTTGAAGACAGAAGGAACCACGAGGCAAGAAAACGAAATTCTCTAGAGCCTCTGGAGGGAGTACAGCCCTGCCTACGGCTTCACCTTGTGAAGGTCCTCTCCAAGCTAAACATCCCCTCGACCCATTTGGACTAATGAAAGTGAAACCCCTTTGGGACTTCAGATTTCCACAAGTGCAAGGTAATAAATTTGTGTTTTAATAAGTCACCAAATTTATGGTAGGTAGTTATGTCATTACAGGAAACCTACAACATGACTACAGACTTAAGTACTTGCACAAATGGACTTGGTCTTTTGCATCTCTGCCATCACCATGAGAATAATACTTCCCGTCAGCCTGCTGGTCCTAGAAGATGAGGCAGGGTTGGAGGAGGGGAGAGGTGAGGAAGCTGCCTCTTAGCCTCAAGCCTACAGCTTGAAACAGCCCAGCCTATACCCACCAACCTGTGTGTGGGAAAAAAAAATAGGGGGTTATTTCATTTTGCCTAAACAAATAGGCATTTTCCATTTGGCCCTCCCACACACCATACCTCCATTCTCCCTGTCTTGAGCCCCAGGAAGCTAATCGCTATTGGCTCCATCCACATACTCTTCAGCCTTCTGATTTCTGATTAGGTTCACCCATTAGGGAGCAGCAGGAGGAAATGGGAGAGAGCAAAAAGATGGAGATTGGAGTACTTATTTCCACAGCCTCCTCTCTCTAGAGTTCAGGCTGGTGGTGGCCCTTATCTGAAGGGCATAAGATCTGCTACACATAGCCCTCTTGTTTCCTGTCCTGGTAGCCACGGTCTCCCCTTTGCTTAGCCCCAGTGGTTTTGCGCTGACAATCGTGATTTTCCAAGAACCTGCCCATCCCTCTACATTTAATAGACCCTTTATTAAATTCTCTTCAGATTTACTCAGAGCGTATGCCGTGTTTCCTGTTGGGACCCTAACAGCTAACAAGTAAATACTTCCTCTTTATCAATAAAGTATAAAACCTTACACTAACTCAATGGTGTTGCTAAAGCAAATTTGTAAAGGTTAATTTTTTTTTTACTTCTGTCCAAAGCCAGGAACAGGTTCTTGAACTAACAAGTATACCAGGGAACTTTATTCTTGCCTCTCAGTAGATAAGCTTTTCTAAGGGAGGTGTCCACCTACTCCACCACCCCCATACCTGGCCGACATTGTCCAAGTACCTGGTTTGTACCAGAAAGCCAATGTGTTCCTTGAGTGGAAGAAGGGAGATTGGAAGGTAAGTTCCTAGCAACCCCATTCCAAATAGCTGATTATGGGATATGAGGTGCTATGGACCGAATATGTCTCCCCAAAATTCACGTAGAAACATCCCCAGCGTGATGATATTTGGAGGTGGGGATTCTGGGAGGTAATTAGGTCATGAAGGTGGAGCCTTCATGACTGGAATTAGCACCCCTCATAAAAGATCCCAGAAAGCTCCCTTGTTCCTTCTGCCATGTGAGGACACAGCAAGGAGATGGCTGTTCACTAGACATGAAATCTGCCCGTGCCTTGGTCTTGGATTTTCTAGCCTCTGGAACTGTGAGAAATAAGCTTCTGTTGTTGTAAGCCACCTAGTCTAGTCTATGGTGTTCTGTCATAGCAGCTTAAAGGCATTAAGACATGGACGTATCTGATAAATGACATCAGAAGATGCCCTGGAGCAGATAGAGTAAGAGCAAAGCAAAATAATGGCTTGTATAGACTTCGGTTCTTGGTCTACCTCTCCTAAGTGGTGTTTGTCCCCATTGACAAGATAAATTCCTTGAGAAAATCCTTCATACTGGGAAATAAAATACCTTGAGACCCAGTGAGACCCAATTTGGGGTTTGATCTCAGAAGTACAAGATAATAAATTTGTGTTGTTTTAAGCCACTAATTTGTTCAGTGATAGAAAATGAATGTGGCTTGGTCAACTGATTTCCTTTCTTTGGGTTCCTCAGGGTCATCCTAAGACATTCTGTCAGTATGTTGAGAACAAGGTTCAGATATTTACAGATGGGGGTAAAGGAAATAGCTAAGGCTCTAGCCTTCACTGAAACAAGTTTTTCCCTAGCGGTCACAAATATAAGCTTCAATTCCCAAAGCCAAATATAAATTTTGTCAATGTCTGAAATTGTGGGCAATAAACACCCACGCTCTGGGGGAAGCAGGACCTGAAGCTAGTCATATCTGGAAACTTGTGTTTTGGGTCTCCCCTGCCTTTCCCACTGTGGAGCCCACAAACACATTGTCTGGGGATGGGAGGTGTCTGGTCTTTCATTGGTTTCAGTACCTACTCTTGGTATCACCTGGACTTAAGATCCCATCTGCCATGAAGTGTGATGAAACCCAAGTCCTTAGCAGCTGGTTCCTGTCTCTGTCCAATAACCACCTCCAGGACAAGAGGGACACCAGGCCACCTCCTTCTTTGTTGCTCTGTTGCCCTCTTGTTTCTGATTCCTGCTCATTCCCCTTATTGCACATTCAGCCATGAATTCACTCTTCCTCCTTTTCTGGCTTCCTTTTTTCTTGTAATATTTTATCCAGGATTTGGGGATGTTTATGCTACAAAAGGCGCCCTGTTAGTAAAGTCTGTTATGTCAGAACCAGAGATGTTTGCACACTTATGGAAAGGGCACATTTTGATGATTTTCCTAAAATACATTGACTGCCCCAATGGTGAACTAAATTTTGTAGGAACAGAAAGGTGTGGGCTGCTCACAACAGTTTTCTTGGTGCTTCTATTAACATTTCAATCAAATTTGGGTCCACTGGGGGTGGAAGGTTAACTTGGAGAAGACCCTTGGAACTATTGACCTGTAGAAGAGGGAATCCTTCCCATCACTTGAGGGAAGGATTGGACTAGCTTACTTGCTTTTGAGGGCATTCTGGCATAGCAGAACAAACACGGGCTCTGTGAGAGACAGAACCTTCCCCAAATCACATCAACTTGGGAGGAGTTGTCCATCTTTGAAGGTGTTCAAGCAAGCAAGACCACCAAAAGTACCAGGACCAAGCAAATACTGCTAATGGGCAGAATGATAATGTCTCAGCAACTCCTGGTAGTTCCTGCATCCTGCTGGCTCAGATTCCACTTGTCGGTCTGAATCACTGTCTGAAAGATGTATTTGTAATTGAGAAGCCATGTGTTTGTGTAGTTCCATCACTTTCTTGTAATCTGAATACCTAAAATAAACCTTTTGGAAAATCTAGAACAAGCAGTCTGGGTAGAGATGAGAGGAAAAAAAGAGCGGATGGTTGTGTGTGTATTGGTGTGTATAAAGAGACTTACATTGTTATGGCAACCAGCATCCTCAACTGATGCAGTCTGTTCCCAATAATATGAGATGTGATTAAAAATTGACATTGCAGCAAGGAGGAGCACATGTAATGCGTTGGCGTGGCAACCAGAATAAAGTCTGCACAGATTTAAACCTGATGATCACAATTTGGGGAATTTGCCTACAATTAATTAGGAATCCTTTTCTCATCTGAAGGAAGTCAGGAGGCTAGAGGTCTGACCTGTGGTCATGATCTTAGGCCAAATGGACCTCAATGTCCTTTTCTGTAAAATGAGGGATTAGGTTAAATCCTTTGGTGTGGGAGAGGGCCTCAGCCTCTAGGCTGGACCAAGAGTTGCCCTGTTTTCATCTGCATGCAGTATGTTATTAGCAGATATTGAGGATCCACTGTCCAACTAGATACTAAGAATACAAAAACTTTCATGGAGCTTGCAATCACTCAACCTCTCCAATTACACAAATCTATGAGGCTACCGCTGTTAACATGTGTAAAAGGAGGTATTTTGTGCTAGAAGAACCAATAATGGAGATATGACTAGTTACATCAAGGGAACTGAAGCACAGGGATGAGCTATATGCCATGAAGTAGGTTAGAGCCTTTACAAATGGAAGAATTAGTACCGGCATAAAGTGATGTTCTCCTGATCACACCAGCAGCCATGGCAACAGGGTCATCCAAACGCAGGCTTGGTCAATGCTGCCCTTTATGCCAGGCAGGGTCAGAACCCATGCCACCCCAGGCCTTCGTTCCTCTGGTCGCGTGGCCCTTCACCCATTGTGAGGCCTTTTTCTGACGCTCCTTGGCTCCCCTTCCCCAAGGAAGGAGGGCGGCGAGGTGGGAAGGCGTTGGGACACCGCAGCGCCCCAGTCGAGGTGCATGTGGGAGTGCAACCCCGTTTTTTGTCACTGACCACTCCGCTAGGGCCCAGCAAGGTCGCTCTGCGGGTCCCGCGCCCCTCTGCACACTGTTGGCCGAGAGGCGGAGGGTGGGGGACAGGATGAATCTCCACCGAGACAGCGAGGGGAGAGACCACTAGGCCCACGCGGCCGAGCCCGCGCCCCCTGATCCGCTCCGCGCGCGCCCCACGTCCTGCAGGGAGGCGGGCCCGCCCCTTCTGCGCGCAGGCGCGCGCCGCACGGGGCTCGGACCGCGGCTCGGCACCGGGCAGCCACGCGCGGGCCTCGCAGGTAAGGAGCCCGCAGCGGGAGCTCGGCCCGGGGTGTGGGGCGCCCCCCGCCCTGCCGCTGGTGCGGGGTGCGCGGCCCAGGCGCCCGGCTCGTGGCGAGCGCCTCCGGCGGGGGACGGGGGAAAGGGAGGAGGGCAGGGGGAGCTGGGCGGAAGGGGTCCGGGAGGAGCGCTGCGGGCTGGGGCCGGCGGCGGCGGGGCTGGGGGCCGCGACCGCGCGCCGGGGAGGCGGCGGCTCCGTCTCCGTCTTCAGCGAAATGCAGTCAATTAAGAGTTTTTCATTAATATGATGGAAGGTGTAGAAGGCGGGCTTTGGGGTTTCTTAGGAAACGGGTCATCTGGCAAACTTTCTCCTACCGTTGATTTCCGATTTTTATAACGGGAAATGGGATTATTATTTTCCCATAAAGGGAAAGAATAAAAAGAATTCCGCCATTTTGGCGTTTTAAAAAGTAACCGTTGAGCGGGGCCGACGGGCCGGTGGCCGCCCCGCCCGCCGCCGTCTGTACCAGTTCCTCAAAGGGCTGGGGGGCGGCGGTCCGGACCCCGGAGCCGGCTTTCGCCCCTCCCTCCCGCGTCCCGGCCGTAGCTGCGGGCGGCAGGCCCCAAGTTTGTAGTGCCCAGTCTCGCTGAGGCTGAGTGTGTGTGTTGAGGTGCGTGGGGGTGTCTGGGGCGCCAACTCCCCAGTCCCAACACCTAGAGCCAGGGCCTTTATTGAACGTCTGTTGTATACGAGACCTTGAAGGGCAAGCAGTGGGAGGAATCTTAGCAGAGAGACGAAGAGAAAAGAAACACGGACATACTCATTCAATAAATGTTTACTGAGCATATGCTATGTGCCAGACACCGCTCTGGCCCGGGGACCCAATGACTGTTTTAGGTAGCGTTCCCTGGAACCAGACTCCGGGAGGGAGATGTGAAGGCAGGTTTACTGGAGTGCCCTTGGGAATATCACCTGTAGGACAGTGAAGACAGCAAAGCGGTGGGCAGAAGAACTGCCAACATAGTCTTGACAGAGGCCTCAGCCTGTCCCAGGGATAGCTCTGGAACGGACATGGCCCTGCTGAGATATCCCAAATTGAGGCAAGGAGGCAAGGCCTTTCTACCCTTTATCAACTAGTCTGACAGGATGGCTGCTTCCAGGAGAGGGCACTTGGGCGAGGCAGCTCCCCTGGCTGAGGGCAATTCCCGGAGAAGCTGACTGCCCGGGCTGCCTTCAGGGTAGCGGGGACCTCCCTCTTGATCCCCTCATCCTCTAGCCTCTGAGCAGCACAGAAGGAGGAAACTGTATTCTAGCCTCTAAGGAATGAGTGGCTAAACGTTTATGTATTCCAGTACCATTGTTTCTTATACATTGACCACTTTTTACACCCAGCTCTCTGATTCATTCATTCATTCATTCATTCATTCATCCATTCATCCATTCATTCAACAGTGACTGTTGAGTGCAGCCTCTGTGGCAGGCTTTTTACACACCAGCTGCTTTGTGCCATCTCAGAGACCCACACATTAATGCATAATTCAACTGCGGTGGAATGAAGCACAGTCAGAACTTTGTTTTGGGGTGGATTTGGGGAAGACTTCAAGGAAGAGGTGTCACTCAAGCTGAATCTTGGAGGAGGGTTAGGATTTTTCTGGACCTTTGGGATATGGAAAGGTACCAAGCAGAAGGAACAATATGTGCACAGGACCCAAAGTGGGCTTCTGAGGGTGTGACCAGGCTCTGGGGTAGGAGTGGATGTTCCAGGCTCACGCCTGGGAGCCATTTCAGACTGGTTGCGCTATTGAGTGTACCAAGTGGGACAGAGTTCATGAAAATGCCACATGGGCTGCAAGCACGAGGCAGGGTGGCTGTGGGAGAGGAGGAGTGATTTCAGATCACAGAGAAAGCAGTTCTGGGCCTCAGAAGAACACCTAGTCCAGCTGGGGAGGAAGACCACAGAAACAGTTGGTGCTGCTCGGCAGGAGCACACAGCTGCATGTGGTGGGTCCCCACATCACAGATGCACTGGGTTCCCTTTCCTCCTGCATATTCAAGGACTTGTCTTCTAGATTGATTGTTTCTCCCCTGCACTGTCGGTTTGTTCCTCTCCATAGGCTCATTTTCATCAGGTACAAACCTGCTATAACATCTCCTGTTTAAAAACAAATCAACAAACACCCCACACCCCTTCCTTGAGACCACATCCCTCTCCAAACACCATCCCCCGATTCCATGCTCTCCTTCACATCGCAACCTCCCTAAGAGAGTTGGTAGCCCATTGTTTCCACTTCCCTTTCTCCCATTCAGGGATCAATCCTTACCATCCGTTTCCCCCACTAGAATGTGGACTCTGTGGCAGAGGTTCTTGTCTGTTTTGTTCACTGACAAATCTGCATTGCCTGGAACAGGACCTGGCACATAGTAGGTGCTCAACAAATATTGAGCTAATCCATGATCTCTGTCTCTAGAATTCACTCCAGTCAGGTTTTTATGTCCACAGCTCCTTGGAAGCAGCTCTTGACAAGGTTTCTAATGACTCCTTATTGTCCCAACGGTCCACTCCCTCACCTGACTTGATTTGGCAGTGGCATTTAACATCACTGAGTGGTCCCACTTTCCTGAAAACTTTCCTCATGTGTCTTCCAGAAGCTCAGACTCTTCCAGATTCCCTCTGACCGCACAGGAAGCTCTGTTACTAGATCTTCTTCCTCCTCTCAACCTGTAAATCTTGGTGAGCTCCAAAGCTCCTACCTTTTTCTCTGTACTCAGTTTTATGGCTTTCAATGCCAGCTATACATGATGGCTTTCAAATTTATATCTCCAGCCCAACCTTATCCCTTATTTCTACAACATATGCTTCATGAGAGCACTCTGTCTTTTTTGAGACTGTCTTCCCAGAGCACAGAATGGTGCTGACATGTAGCTGGCCCTTCAGTGTCTGCTGAAACAAGGGCAACAAACCAGGGAACAGCTGGACAGTCCCCTCAGCCTCCCTTCCTGGATGCACCTGAAATACATGATAGGTTTGGAAAGAGAATGAAATTCTTCCAGGAGTAACCACATTGACTCTTAATGACCGCCAAGGTTTTGAATAAAGAGATTGACTCTCGTGAAAAGAACTTAAAATGGTACAAGTATATCCGCTGTGCAGAACAAAATAGTGAGAAATGAAATTCAGGGAGTTCTGTTTTATGATTTTAACACAGGGGACACATTGGTTTGAATGTTGCCTTAATTAATCAGGTTATGTATCTAGCCTTCGCCTGCCTGATTACATACTCTATAATACAGAGAATGGACTCTCTCTTATAAGGAGGAAAAGCTGGAAAATAAATGAATGCGCAAGAACAGCAGGAGGGAGGCTGGGAGAGACAGCACACACTGTAAGCTGATTTTGCCACCAAGCTACCAAGCTTCCTGGAATTTCTATTCAAAGGGAGTGGAGTTGGATTTGTTGAAGGTCTGCTGCTACCAAGACTTTACTTATTTTGTCCATTTAGTCTTCACCACAGCCCTTTGAGGTATATATCATTACCACATTTATTTTACACATGAAGAAACTGAGGCTCAAAGAGGGTACGCTACTTACACAGAAGCACAGATGTTAAGTGGTGGAGCTGAGATTCATACTGTCCTAAGTCAGTCTTAAGCCTAGGCCATGTTTTCCTTTAACCTGTGTGCCACAAGCCATTGTCAAGTACTGCTAACACCTTAAAGCAACCAGGTATCAATCACATATACAGAGCTTTTTATTAACAAGTTGAAATTACTGAAATCCAACACATTTTTTAGCACCTGCTGTGTACAGGCACTATTCTAAGGGCTGGACATATAGCAGTGGCCAAGACAGAGACAAGTCTTTGCCTCCATGGAACTTCTATCTCGATGGGGTTAACTGATGAGACACAAATAAGCAAATGAAGATCATTATTGATTATAACGAAGGATGTGAAGGAAATAAACACAGTAATGGGATAGGCAGTAGTGGAGTGGGTGAGGGGGTATGCTGCTTTAAACTGAGTGGCCAGGAAAGACCTCTTCCGAAGAGGTAGCCACTGAGCCAAGGCCTAGAGGATGGGGCTGGGGGGGGGGGGGCGGGGGGGGGGGGTGGCAGCCAAGCGAAGAGGATGGGTAAGTACATTCTAAGTAGAGAAAACAGCAAGGATCAAGGGCTCTGTGGTGGGAATGTTTGTTAATCAACAGAAGGAAACCAGTGTTTATTGAGGGTGGAAAACGGGAAGATCGATGGAGGATAGGGTCAGAGAGGAAGACAGGGGTCAGATAACTATAGGATAAAGCACTCTGATTTTGTTCTAAGGGTAATGGAGAGCCATAAAAGGATTTTAGATAGTGAAATTATGTGATTCAGTTTGCATTTTTAAAGCTTTCTCTTGGGGCACTTGGGTGGCTTAGTCGGTTAAGCATCTGACTTCAGCTCAGGTCATGATCTCACAGTTTGTGGGTTCGAGCCCCACGTCAGGCTCTGTGCTGACAGCTCAGAGCCTGGAGCCTGTTTCAGATTCTGTGTCTCCCTCTCTCTCTGACCCTCCCCTGCTCATGCTGTCTCTTAGAAATAAATAAAAACATTAAAAAAATAAATAAATCTTTCTCTTGCCTGAGAATAGACTGTAGGGGGCAGGCAGGGAAGGAGGGAGATGAGTTAGGAGGCAGTTTCTCAAGTCCAAGGAGAGCTGACAGCAGTTGGCACTAGTGTGACAGAGAGGAGATGGAGAGAAGTCGCCAGACTGAGATGTGTTTTGCAGGTAGAGCTGACAGGCCAATTCTAATATGTGTAAAGTTTTGCTGTCCAGTACAGTAACTATGGCCACTGTGACTATTCCAATTTAATTTAAATTAAGATAATAAATTCAATTCCTCATTCACACTAGCCACATTTCAAGTGCTCTGTAACCACATGTGGCTAGTGGCTACTGTGTTGGACAATGTAGGCCTAAGATGTCTCCATCATCAGAGAAGATTCTACTGGACAGTGCGGGTAAGGTACTAACAGTGGCCAAAACAGTTTAGGAGTTAAGTAAATGATAGATATTAAGTATATTTGTTATGTCATTAGGTGGTTTTTTTCCCTGTACATTTACCTGTTCAGCCACCTCAGTATTAAATGCCTTTTTCACCCTTGCTTTATTTATAGCAAACTCATACACTGCCTGGGCCCTCAAATACCTCTGTGCTCTTCACATGTATGCATTTGTTCAGCAGATGTTACAATGCTCACTCTGCTTGGGGTTGGAAGGATTATGGGCATGGGTTATAAAGGAATGTGATCAGGAAAGATCATCTCCCAGGAAAATGGACCTTCTGAGTGAGAGAGAACCTGGTACTTGAGGGCTCTAAATCCCCAGAGGGAGAAGGGATTGATTCTAGTGGGGCTGAAGGTCAGGATTGAGAAGAGGGGAGTTTTGACTTAGCTTGGGCTACACCGTGACAGCTGGCCAGGCAGAACCTTGGCCTGAGACCTACTCCCCAGAGTCAGTTCAGTACGTAACAGTTTACAGAGCACCCTCATGCATGTCCATCTTCCAAAGTCTGGGGGAGATGCAGGGCGTGGCCAGAGCTCTCATCTGGGTGACCTGGTTGGAGCCAGGGGCCAGAGTTAATGTTGGTCTCCTGACAGCCTGCTGTCCTCAGGGTTGAGGGTTTTCTCTGCAGGTTGCCAGCCTGAAGGTGACCAGCTCCTTCTCAAAGAAGGCCCCTCCTTCCCTGATGGCCCTGGGGGTTGTCTTCAGCTTGTAGGCCTACCAGGATGGAGGGGAATGCCGAAATGGAGATGCTGAGGACACTGAAGGGACCCTCCACAGGAGAGGTCAATGTGCACCTGGTGGCCAGAGACAGCTCAGGTTCTGGCTCTCACCTGCCCACTGCTGCCTTCATCATCCCAGGTGGGCCTAGCCAGGGGTCTGGGGAGGAGCATACTTGCTCAGGCAGGTATGGATCCTGGGAAGGGCATACTTTCACCTGCCTACACACATGCATCGGGCACGGCCACTAAGCTCACCTGTGTCATGTCTTCCGTGCATTTGTTCGCAGCCAGCTCGGCCACCCTTGGCCTGCCCAGTAGTGCCCTGGATGTGACCTGTTTTCCGCGGGAGCCGATCCATGTGGGCGCTCCGGAGCGAGTGGCGGGCAGCGGACCTGTCACGGCCACCGTTCTGCCGCAGTTAAGCGCCGGGCCTGCGGCCAGCTCCAGCGCCACCACAGTGCGGCTCCTGGAGTGGACCGAGGCCGCGGCCCCGCCTCCTGGGAGCGGCCTGCGGGTCAGTGTCTGTGGGGATTGGCGGGGCCCCTGCGAGCCGCACCTGCGGGGTGGGGCCAGCACGCCGGGGGCGGGGCCCGAGGCGAAGGAGGGGGAAGGGGCCGCGATGAGGGGTTCCCCGGTGCGGCTTTGAGTGCGGGACTCTAGGGGCATGGCTGGGGTGGAGGCGCTCGGAGTCTGGAGGGCTGCTGGGGGCGGGGCTTGGAGCCTGGCACCCGGAGCCGAGCCTTGCGGAGTAAGGCGGCCCGAGGGGACTGTGCCGAGCCGGGGACGGGTCAAGGAGGTACAGGAGTCCAGTCCTCAGACCCTCCTGCGCTCCAGTTCCGGATAAGCGAGTACGCGCCGCTGAACATGGTAGGAGCGGAGCAGCCCCCGAGCCCCGAGCTGCGGCGGGAAGGTGTGGCCGAGTATGAAGATGGCGAGGCCCCGGCGGGAGGTGGCGATGCGGGCACCCAACAGCCCGGTAGGACCCCCTCCCCAGTCCCCAGACTGGGGCCCTGCATGGGTGGGACGAGGCCCTAGCTCCCCAAGGAGTTTCCATGGTTAGGAGTTGGTGTGAGGGCGGCCTGGTTCTGCAAGTACATCCAGGAATCGGTCCTGAAGGGGGCGTGGGCCCCGAGGTGGGCGGAGCCTGACAGGTGCGGCTGTGGTGGGTGGGAGGCCTGAGGCCCCTTTCGCCCCCCCCCGGCCCCCCGCAGCGGACCTCCCCCAGGACCCTCCAGAAGATCCCCCACAGGACCACCCAGAAGATGATGGCACCTGTCAGTGCCAGGAGTGTGGACCTCAGCAAAGTGCGGGTCCGGATCCTGGTGCCTCCAATGATGACTGCCCGCCACTGTTCCAAGAGCGGTAAGGGGGAGGGGATTGCAACCGTACCTGCTCTGCCTGCGGGGCCCCCAAACCCCCTTCCTGTTCGTGGCTGAGGAGAGGGACTGGGGTGGTGCAGGGTGGGTGCTTCTTTCTCTCAGGCTGTTCCTCCATCAGGTCAGTCATAGTAGAGAACTCCTCCGGCCAGAGCGCCAGCACCAGCACTTCTGAGCTCCTCAAACCCATGAAGAAGAGGAAACGCAGGGAATATCACAGCCCATCAGAGGAGGAGTCGGAGCCAGAGGCCTTGGTAGGAAGGGGGCAGTGGAGAGGGAGAGGGGAGGCTGGAGACTACGTCTCAATTTCCACTGACCTCTCAGTTAATCCAGGCTGTGGGGCTGGGCCAGAGATGACACGTGATGATTCACTCATCATATTTTTGGGGTCCCATTTTGATTCAGGTCCTGTACTTGAAGAGTACAGAGTAGAGGTTAAAGCACCCTCCTGCTTTCTGGAGCTCCCATGTCAGTCTAGTGTCAGGGCTGTGTCACATTCATGTAAACCAGCACCCAAATAGATGTGTAGGCGGATGGAAAGCTCCATCCCTGGAGCCCAGTCTCAAGACCAGAGGCCTGGGAGCACAGGGCTCTAGTTGCAGAGAAGCTAGAAGAGACAGAGCATGAAAGTTCCAGCGGGCCAGCAAAACCCATACAGAGCAGTTCTGAGAGGAATGAGGAAGATTGTCATCAGACTGTGTCACTAGGGGCTGTATGCTCATGTGAGTTTGTGCCCACCTGGTAAGGGATTGCCCCCGGGAGCTGTGTTCCAGCTGGTAGCCTAGAAGAAATTCTACTTGTTTGGGGCAGAACACTGTGTGGCCAGGGAGCCAGGCAGGGGCCTGGAATAGTCTGGGACTTCACCTCAACCCAGGAGGACAGGAATAAGGCTTGCCTTCCACAGGAGAAGCAAGAAGAAGGAAAGGATCAAGAGGGACAGCCCACTGCTAGCACCCCAGACAGTGAGGAGTGGAACAGCAGCCAGCCTGGTATGGTGGCGTGTGTGTGTGTGTGTGTGTGTGTGTGTGTGTTTGTGTGTGTATTGGTGTGATGTGTGTATACACCTTTGGAGGTGTGAGGCTGGGAGTATGGGTTATGAATGTGATGGTGTGTTGTACATATGTAGATAAGTATGAACTAGTGTATGTGAGACAGAGGGAGAGAAAATGAGAGAGAGACAATGTTTCTGGTTTATGCACTTGTATATGTGTATTGGGGGGAGGGGATTATATCATGTGGTTGTTTATCCTCTATTATCTAGTTGTGAACAGGCCTTACTTCCAGGCCAGTATCCAAAGACTTAAATAGCTTTTAATGGCACCACATGGCATTGCTTCCCTTTGGTGGTGTGAGCAAGTTCATACCAGTCATTGGTCTGACCTTGCTCTTTGGGCCACCATTCTGGCCCTTTGGTTCCAAGAGAAGTGGAACCAGGGTCATTCATAGTGAGCTCTGGCCCTCCAGCCTTCTCCATTCCCATGTGACAACAGTCAACTGGAGCTAAGTAACATTTATCACACCTGTGGTCACCTAGATACTGTACAGCTTGTTTAATGTCTGCCTTCCTCCCTCAAAACTGTATTTTATTAATCACTGTATCTCTGATGCTTAGCTCAACGACTGGTGTTGAGTAGACTCTCAATAAATGTTTATCCAGTGCATGAATGGATGAGGTGTATGTTGGTGGTTCCACTTGGACCATAGTTCAGTTGCATGAATTACTGTCTTTCCTGTCCCAGAGAGAGTAGAGGGTGAGGTGAGTTCTTAGGACATTCTGCCTTACTGGATCCAGTGTAGCCAGAGGAACCCAGTCTGTATCCAGGGCTCTGAACTCTGTAGTGCCTATTGGAAATTTTCACTGATATCTCTCACCCAAGGCTCTCATAATCAAAAGCCAAAACATAGCTCTCGTTGGTTTATGGCCTCTTGAGTCATAACCAGAGGAAGGAGACAATGTCTAACTACTCAAGACAGTGGTTCAACTGCTCTGTCTTACTGAGGGAAGTAGATTTGTGAATCTGCATTCTTTTACCTGAGTCCTCTTGACCAGTACAGTTATCTTTTGACTCATACCTCTCACCATCTCTATGGTGGTGTAGCATTGGTTTCTGGATATTTTCCACCTTCTGTTTTTTTTCCTTTTTTCAAGGAAAGATACTCTGTCAGTCAACAGATGTTTGCATTTATGGCTAAATTTTTCCCCACTCACTTTTGGGGTCTCTTGGCAGAAGAATCTAGGGCTAGGGGTGGGAGTGGCAGGTTTGCTTGAGTGTCCTGTGTGTGTGGAGAATCTCTTTTCTGTCTATGCTCTGTTTGGCGGTTGGATGGCCAGCTACTGGGCTCATGGTGCACAGGCCTGACATTACCTGGTCCTGACAGAATGTTCCAATAGTTTAAGAGTTAGAGCTGTGTAACTCATGTATATACTCAGGTGTTCTTGCACGCTCTCTCTCTCTCTCTCTCTCTCTCTCTCTCTCTCTCTTTCTCTCTCTCTCCCTCTCTCCCTCCCCCTCCCCAATATACCTGCTTTATCTTTTCAACAGCTGAGTTATGTGAAGAATTGTTTTCTAACACACCATGGTGCAAGTCTTTACAGATTATTTAGTCATTAATAGTTATTCTTATATTCTCTGTCCCCTCTCGTTCTGCCCACATCCAGATCATGTATCTGGTGGGATTCGTCTGGGTCAACTTGGCCAGCCTTTTCACATTCAAAACAGTCCTTCAAGTATCCTCTTCTGCCTCTTTATAGTTACCTGAGACATTCATTTTGCCCATTCTTAATCAGGTTGTTTATCTTCTTACTATTAATTTATGTATTCTGGATATAAGTCCTTTGTCAAATATATACACTAAAAAAATCTTTTCTCCCAGTTTGTAGCTTGCTTTTTCCTTCCAAAATGATATTTTTTGAGGAGCAGAATGTTTTCATTCTGATAGTGTCCACTTTATCCAGTTTTTGCAGTTAGCGCTTCATATATATTTTTACAAAGTACAGTTTTTTTTAGCAGCTTTATTAAGATGGAATTCATAAAACATGCAACCCAGCCATGTGAATTGTACAATTCAGTGGGTTTTTATGTATTCACAGAGTTGTATAACCACCACCACAATCAATTTCAAGATTTTTTTTCATCACTCCAAAAAGAACCCCTGGATCCATCAGCTGTCATTCTCCCCAAACCACCAATCCCCTGTGGTCCTAGGCAACCCCAGGTTTATTATCTGTGGATGCGGATTTGCCTACTCTGGACATTTCACATACACAGGATCACATAATATGGTGGCCCTTTATGATTGGCATCTTTCACTCGGCACAGTGTTTTTAAAGGTTTATCCATGGGGTAGTGGGCATCAGTACCCCATTCCTTTTTATTGCCAAGTAATATTCTACTGTGTGGATATCTCGTGCTTTATCAATTGATGGATATGGGGTGCTTCTACTCCAGGGCTACTCTGAGTAATGCTGATATGAATATCCATGTACAAGTTTTTTTTGTTTTTTGTTTTAATTTTTTTAATGTTTTTATTTATTTTTGAGAGAGAGAGACAGCGTGAGCAGAGGAGGTTCAGAGAAAGAGGGAGACACAGAATTCATAACAGTCTCCAGGCTCTGAGCTGGCTGTCAGCACAGAGCCCGATGTGGGGCTCGAACCCACGAACCATGAGATCATGACCTGAGCCAAAGTTGGACGCACCACTGACTGAGCCACCCAGGTGCCCCTCCATGTACAAGTCTTTGTGTGGATATAATTCTTCATTTTTCTTGAGTATGTACCCAGGAGTGAATTGCTGGGTTATATGGTAACTCTATGTTTAGCCTTTTAGGGAATTGCTAGACTTTTCCTAAGTGACTGTGCCATTTTATATTTTCACCGGCTTGAGAGTTCCAGTTCATTCACTTCCTCATCAATGCTTATTATTGTCTGTCTTTTTTATTACAGCCACCCTCGTGGGTGTGAAGTAGCCTCTTATTGTGGTTTTGACTTGCATTACCTTGATGGCTTATGATGTGGAGCATCTTTTCATGTGTTTATTGGCCATTTGTATATTTTTCTTTGGACAAATATTTATTCAGATCCATGCCATTTTTAAATTTGGTATAAGGAACACATTTGATGTTGAAATACAAAGAGCGTGCCATGCAGAGTTGGGGAACATTTTGAGAATATGAGTGTGTGCTTCAGTACAAGTCATTGATCAGTAGGACTCTTACAGCAATGCCTTCTTAACTGAGGTCTCTAATCTAAATTTACGTGAATTGTTTATTTTTTTTCTGGGTAGATGGTCCATGCCTTTCATCAGATTTTCAAAAAGGTCCATTTATACTTACTAGAAAATGAAGGCCATGTGAAGAATAGACCATAGCATTATGGAGCCCAGCCTCTTCAGCTTGGTGTTCCCAGGCATAGATCCTTGCAAGGTACATGTTAACCTCAAGCAGCAGGCTCTTGATTAAGTTTTCTGTCTTGAACTGATTCTGATTTGGCTAAACATTGGCTAACCATGCTGCAGAAGAGATAGGCAAATACAGACATGTATCTGTGGCAAATTTAAGCAAAAAGATCCAGCACATGGTTGGCACCCTGGTGAGTGCTTGTGATCAGCTCTTCTTGAACCATGGCATTCTGTTCTTTACGTTTTCCTTCTCTCTTATAGACCTTATAGTGGAAAGTCTGGTTAGAACCATTAATCCACAAACTGTCTCTACCTAAACTACTGAAACAGTGCTCAAGAAGCTTCCCAAGAGAGCACAAAGAGAGGAAATGGCAAGGAATTGCTAAATTTCTAGGGTTCCCACCGTTGAGGAGCAGGGTTGGGGTGGGAGAAAGAACCACCAATGGCAAGAGAAGAGGAAGAAGGTACAGCTAAGAGTGCAGCAAGAAGGAAGTGCTCAGATGGAAGGGAGCTGGATAGCACATGGACATCAAGACATTTGAGGAATGAGGGATACCTGCGTGGCTCAGTTGGTTAAGCCTGCAGCTCTTGATTTGCCTCAGGTCATGGTCTCATGGTTCACGAGTTCAAGCCCTGCGTCAGACTCTGTGCTGACAGTGCAGAGCCTGCTTGGGATTCTCTCCATGCCTGCCTCTCTCTCTCTCTCTCAAAAATAAATAAATAAATTTTAAAAAGAGAGAGAGAAGGTATCTGGATGATTCAGTCGGTTAAGCATTCAACTTTGGCTCAGGTCATGATTTTACAGTTCATCAGTTCGAGCCCCGCATCAGGCTCTCTGCTGTCAGTGCAGAGTCCTTTTTCAGAGCCTCTGTCCCTCCCTCTCTCTGCTCCTCCCCCACTCACACTGTCTCTCTCTCAAAAATAATAGATTTAAAAAAATTTTTTTTGAAAACAGGTAGTTATGTAATAGTATAATAACTGTTGTGGTTGAAGTATATAGGTACAAAGGACTGTCCCGGAATAAGCTCTGCCTCATACAGTCAAGGGAGGCTGCACAGGGCAGGTGGGAAGATGTTCCTCCCAGCTGTGCGTCCATACATCCATACATCCCTGCATCCATACATCCAGCCGTCCACACACGCATACATAGACATACATCCTTCTAGTCATTCATGTAACAGACATTTGGTGATTATCTCTCTGTGTAAAACCCTATACTAGTGGCAGAGCTGTGGGTGAGAAGATAAGAGGCAGGGCCAGGATGGGGGCAGCATCTATGAGGCAGCAAGTTGAGGATGTGCAAAGGCACAGAACCACGCGGGCTTAGAAATGCATGCTGAGGCTAGTTCACTGACAGCTTTGTGTGCTGCAGAAAAGTGTTCGGGTTTTTGGCTGTAAATCAGAAGCCACTATGGACGAAAGCAAAGAAAGAAACCATTTTTATTTTAGAACTGTTCTGGCACTAGACCGAATCTGAGGCCGCAAGATCAATCCAGAGGCTCTTGAACCAGACTCAAAGTGAGACCAACAGTAAGCATGGAGAGGTGGGAATAGATTTGAGAGACAGGTAGAAGTTGGAGTCAGCAGGACTCAGGGGCTGAAGGATCCTGGGAGTGAAAAAAGAGACATAAAGCATCCCTCCCAAGTTCCTGGCTTGTGTGACTGGTTGAATGGATGCTGATGCCATCAACCGGAATGGACTATATTGAGAAGAGCTTTGGCAGAGAAGGTAGGAGTTTGGTTTTGGACAGCCTGAGCTAGCTGAAGAAAGTGCTAGTCAAGAGCGTCTAGTCCAAAGAAGCAGGAATAAGCAAAGGAGCATTTCTGGAAGTCAAGAGGATGAGTACCACAGCTGGCCTATGCAGTGCCTTGACACACATTGTAAAAAGGTGCCCTTTTGAGCAGACCCAGTTAGAAAAAAGGCAACCTTTCTTCATAGTAGATTTAGCCACATGGCTTGGCAAGGAGTCCAGGCTGGATTTCAGCCACATTCACCCTCTTGGCTGGGCACCTATGAACAGTGCGCAAACTGTACAACCGTACACAGATGCTTTGGGACTCATCTCGTTTTTAGGATGTAGCTAACAGCTCAGTCCACTATTCTCCATGGGAAAAGGACACAGGGAGTTGGAGGAGGCTGGGGCTTGGTCTGGGAGAAGATGTCTAGTCATTACTGAAGGGTTTAGTAATCAGACCTCTCTCCACTGGATTCCATTTCTCATCTCTTTTCTCATCTGTGGAAAGGATTACTATGAGTCCTACCTATCTCCTCAAGACATAGTGTGAGGATTAAAGGGAACCACGTATGTGAGGTCTCTGAGGCATCCCTGTACCCCCAGTTTCTGGCACCAGCCTTGGCACACAGGAAGCCCTACTCAATGGTAAAGGAATGGTTAAGGGAATTGAAAATGGTGGTGGTGGTGGTGAATCGTAAAGTCTGTATACCTGTTATACGTTATTCTAGTGAGAGAATCCAGACAATAAAGGGTTAGGGAGGCAAGTGGCATGGTTGGGGGTTGGGATGGAAGACACTGAAGATGGGGAGGTCAGAGGTCTCTGCTGTGGGGGGCGGGGGCAGGAGCAGGGAGTAGTCTTAGGACTTGGCCACAATGGAGTATGGCTGAGGGAAGAGGAACTTGGGGCTAGGAGCCCAGGAAGGGTAGAGCTTCCTGAGGTGAGAAATCCAACAAGTGGCTCATGTTACAGTTTGGGAAGAGTGAGAAGTGAGAACATAATGTAGGGAGAAAGGCTCGGGGGTTATGAAGCCTGGTGATAACAGTGGTGATTTGGGAAAAGGGAAGAGGTATTATGCAGGATGATGCAGAACGGCAGTGGCAAGACACCAGGAAACGATGCCAGGCCTGGCGTCCCACAGCGCACTCTCTCCTCCCCTGGATGCTCTGTAAGCCTGGATAAAGGCTGAGTGGGAGAAGTGAGGATTTCTTGAGGGAACACAAGTCATGTGTTGGAGGGACATTCCAGGTGTCACTGCGGGCAGAGGATAGTGGGAAGAGGTGTGCTCTGGGCTGGTGTATGGTGTAGGTCCCTGAGATGGTCTGCTGGCTTGGTGGATCTGTTGATGAAGGAAAGACTTGATTTGGCCTAGCTGGGTCAGATGGTCGGGATCTCAAGGTTCGGTACGGTGACCAGGGAACTTAGGCAGCTCCTAGGGAGATGCTTCTAGCCACTGTGGTTCCAGCTAAAGAAAAAAGCTTCTTCCTGAGTGACAAATCACTCCACATCTCAGTGATCCAGGGCAGTAACCAAGAGCTAGAATCCAGATCAGACAGACTTCATGGAGCCCCAGGAAGACCAGTAACACAAGACCAGCACTTCGTGTTTCGTGAGGATCTTTTACTCGCAGCATTTCATGTACTTCTCCACACGACTCCCTGTGGTAGATGAAGTTGTCTGCATATCGCAGATGACAAAATTGAGGCAGTGAAGTATCTAGAAGAAGCTGGACCTATTTACCAAAGGGATATGAATTGATTTCTGCAGGCCTTTGCAAAATGCAAGGCTCTTTCATGGTCTGTAGCCTTCAGCTAAAGGCAGCTCTGGCTGATCTTGTGAGCCTACCTTACACATTGCCAGCTATTCTAGTCTTTAAAGAATGTTTCTCTCTGTCCTGGAGGCCAGGTCTGCATCTCATTACTAACCTGAATTTCCCATAGGGGAATTTATCTCCCCCTCCCCAGGAGATTCCTGACGATAGTTGTGTGTGTGTGTGTGTGTGTGTGTGTGTGTGTGTGTGTGTGCGCGCGCGCGCGCGAGTGCGCGTGCGTGTCAGGGGAAACTCAGATGAGGAATCTATCAGGAACAGTCCAGGGGTCAGTCTTCTGTCTCTTGTCTACAGCATCAGGGGAGAAGAAGGAAAGCTGGTCGTGGGAGCCCTACCTGGAGGAGCAGAAGGCTGTCACCGCCCCTGTCAGCCTCTTCCAGGACGTGAGTTGGATAGTTCCTACCTAGGAAGAGCTTGCATACCCTGTCCAGAACTCACCACCAAACTCAGACCTTCTGGTGTTCTGTGTGTCTGATATCCCTCAAAAGACTGGAAGAATGGAAGGGGGAGAGGCTGGTTAAGGTCCCAGAGTAGAAAAGGGCTCACTCTGAGAGGCTCCCAGGATAGGAGGAAGTAGAGAGGTGGGACCCAGGCTCATGCGTCACTGCACCTGTGGACTTTTGAATCCTGGTCCCTTCTGCTCAGTTCTGTATGCTGATCTCCCCATGACGTGGGTAAGAGGGAGCCCTTAAATCCAGCCCTGATTTAGCCCACATTTTTTCAGAGGACTTGGGAGTTAGTCTTTCCTGCTCTGGATCCCTGCACTAAAGATTCCCAAACAAGTTACCCCTTTGGTAATACCAGGCAGATGGGGCCTAAAGGCAGTTCCTTCACCCCAAGCTTACTAGGCAAGGATAAGGCTGGATGGAGGCTGGGTCCTCTCCAATCTGTGCATTGACAGTACCAGGCGGTCACTCATAATAAGAATGGCTTCAGACTGGGCATGAAGTTGGAAGGCATCGACCCTCAACACCCGTCCATGTACTTCATCCTCACTGTGGCCGAGGTGAGCTGAGGCTTGCTCCCATATTCTGGTGATGTCTCTCTGGGTAGACTGATGGGGACTGCTAGGGGCATGGAGGGCCTGACTTGGATGAGGGAGACACTGCCCTGCCCTCAGAAAGCACCCAGTCTTTAGGGGGTTATGGTGGAACACACCAAAAGCTAAGAAAGGAACAAAACCCACACTACTGGGCATGGAGACATTACTGAATGGTGCATCCTGCAGTCCTGGGGGAGCCTGAGGAGGAGGGATCTCGAGGGCAGGGGTGTTGGCATGAGTCCAGTCATGGTCTCGTCCTCTGGGAGTCCCACAGTTGTGTGGGAATCAGCCAAATAGACACATCAGCAACTTACCACATGGGACAGCAGATGTGAGCAGGGCGGCACGTAGGGGGCAGGAGGAGCTTCATGGAGGAAAGGCCTCCTGCCAAGCCTTGAGGGATGCATTGTGAGTTAGTAGGTGTTCCAGGCAGAAGAAGCGACAGTCCTGGGCATAGAACAGGGAGCCAAGTTCAAGGAACTGCCATCAGCTCAGTGAGGTCAGAGCAGTGTGAGGGGGGAGCAGTGAGAGACGGTAGCAGAAGGGTCATCAGGGGCCCTCTGAACAGGCCTGAGCCTTGGTAGGTGCCCTTGCGGTTCTGTCCAGGACTCAAAGGGCAGGAGGATGTCCTGGAATCTGCCTGTCTCACACGCAGACTCAGGGCTCATGAGTATGTGATCTGTCCTCCATGCAGGCAGGATGGGAGAGCATGGGGCAAGGTTCCCGATGCGGGAAGAGTGGTGGGCTGGGGAACCTGCTCGCATTCGAGAGACCCTGGAGACCACCAGGCTGGGCCAGAAGTGAGGGAGAGGGAGGTGGGCGTCTGCTGGCCTCAGAGTCCCTGTGATTCCCCTCCATGGGGCTAGGTGTGTGGCTACCGCCTACGTCTGCACTTCGATGGGTATTCTGAGTGCCATGACTTCTGGATCAATGCCAACTCCCCTGACATTCACCCCGCTGGCTGGTTTGAGAAGACTGGCCACAAGCTGCAGCCCCCCAAAGGTAAAGCCTAGCCAGGTTGGTCACAGTGAGGCAGTGAGCCCTCAGGCCCATCCATTCTTCCCCACAGGACCCCCTTCCCTGTTCCCCATTCCACCACTAGCCTCTCTTAATCCCATCCTGCTGTGACTAGGCCCCAGGGCTTCTGCCTTGCTCTTGCCCTTGGAGTGTCCACCCGGGTCATGTCCCACCTCAGCAGGGTCTCCCTGGGCAGGTTCTTGAGGGGTGGGAGGTCCTTGGACTTTGCTGATTCTGCTGCTTCAGTGCGGGCTTACTCACGGCGGCCCAGCCTCTGTCTGCACGGCACTCTGTTCTTCCCCTCCCTGAGGGGCCTAGGTTACAAGGAGGAGGAGTTCAGCTGGAGCCAGTACCTGCGCAGCACAAGAGCCCAGGCCGCCCCCAAGCACCTGTTTGTGAGCCAGACCCACGTGAGTGCCCCCTGAGCGAGAGCGGATTCCCACCCTTTGGGACAGAATCCCAGCAGAAGAGAGCTTGTGTGCCAGTGCTCTCAGCTCACACCAAATGGGAAGGGCGCTCTGGGCAGGCCGACGGGCAGAGGGAGGCCAGGTATGGGGCCCATCCAGTAGGGCCCTCCTTCCTACTACAGAAGTGCTGTGCTCCAGGCACCCACCATCTCAGCCTGGGCACTGGATTTCTTGCTTTGGTTTGCTCTGCATGCCCTGGGGATAAGGTCCAAGCCTCGGTTCTGGGAGCTTGCTTTTTCCTTCCTTTTGACCAACACCACGGCTCTCCCGTTTAGTCTTGACAGGTCATAATTTCACAGTTTGTGAGTTCACGTCGGGCTCTGTGCTGACATAACTCCTAGAGAACCTATTGCTTCCTTTGCCAGTGGGTTCTGGGCCTAGCGTAGCAGCCCCTCTTCTTGCCCACAGAGTCCCCCACCCCTGGGCTTCCAGGTGGGCATGAAGCTGGAAGCTGTTGACCGCATGAACCCATCCCTAGTCTGTGTGGCCAGCGTGACTGACGTGGTAGACAGCCGCTTCCTGGTGCACTTTGACAACTGGGATGACACTTACGACTACTGGTAGTGGAAGGGCCCAGACTTGGCCGGCGGGTGAGGGGATGGCAGGGGCGGGAGGCAGTACTTTCAGACCTCAGGCACCATGTAGCCCCTACCTGGTCCTGACATTGATATTTGCTCCGGGGCATCACAGACTGTCCTGTGTGGCTTTGATCTATATCATCAGAAATAAAATGCAAAATTAAATGTTTCCTCTAAAAATGCCAAGGTTAGGATGAGCAAACCTGTGATTCATGGTTTTCCCTTAGACGGTTGGTAGTCGTAGAGTTTGTGGTTAATGCTGCAGTTTTGTGACGTCATCAGCCATCTGTGTTGCTCTCACGAAACAGTAGAATGAGGGTGGGCACTGGCGCCGTGCTGTCCTAGGCCTCAAAGTGTCACTTGGGTCAGTGAAGTATTCTTGGTTTCAGGTGTGATCCCAGCAGCCCCTACATCCACCCGGTGGGCTGGTGCCAGAAGCAAGGGAAGCCCCTCACCCCTCCACAAGGTGACCCCACAGCCTGAGAAAATGCCCCTTCCCGGGCCTGGCCCCACCGCCCTCCCCCCAGTCCCTTACCAGTACCTCACTAGCTGGGTCTTTAGGGTCTGGGCGAGAGGACAGATGTGTCCTGCAGCCTCATCTTCTTTGCCTGGGAGCTGAGAAACCTTTGATTTTAGGAGAGACCTGTCAACCCCTGACTCTGTTGAGGTTTAAAGGAAGAAAGTTAAGACGACCTCTCTCAGCAAGGGAGCAGGAGTCTAGAGCAAAGAGAATGTGTCCTTTCGGGATATTATGCTGGTCCACACACAGAGAGGTTCAGACAGGCTGGGGCTTGAGCTGGAGCAGCAGCACCAAGGGGGAGTGGGGACTCAGCGTTCTCTGTTAACTGTGGGGTGGCGACGCGCTTGGTCCTGGCTCCCTCTGCCTCAGGAGCCCCCGCCAGCAGCTGGCCGTGGTGGTGTGGGGGGCGGGGGGGATTGTACCCCTTCCATTCTCCTGGTCCTGTTTGAGGAGAGAACTTCCCTCATGTGCCTAGACATTGTTCTCATCCTCTCCTCCAGACTACCCAGACCCTGACAGCTTCTGTTGGGAGAAATATCTGGAAGAAACTGGGGCCTCTGCTGTGCCCACCTGGGCCTTCAAGGCGGTGAGTCCGCTTTCTCTGCCCCCAGAGCTGACCTCTGGGAAGGCACGGAGCACTCGGCCAGCCACATGGAATGGAGGCCGAGTGGAGTGCTCCGCCTTCGGAAGGCCACTGTTTCTAGGTCACAGCACTTGGGCTCCTTTCTTGGGGCCTCAGCTCTCCCGAGCTAGGCCTTGGCCTGAAGACTGCTGTCCCCCTGCAGCGACCCCCACACAGCTTCCTGGTCAACATGAAGCTGGAGGCCGTGGACCGCAGGAACCCAGCCCTGATCCGTGTGGCCAGCGTGGAGGACGTGGAGGACCATCGGATCAAGGTGGCTCTGGGCCCCTCAGGCTGGGGGAATGGACAGGCTGTTTGGGCAGAAATTCTGTAGACTGGTCAGAGATCAAGGGCATGGCATGAATCAGACATCAGGGAGGCTGCAGGTTGTGGGAAGAGAACTCTACATTCAAGGTCAAAGATCTGGGGTCTCACTCAAGCCTCATCTGTGACTTAACCTTTGTGGGCTTGGGCAAGTCATTTCCCCTCTCTGAGCTCATAAGTGCCAGTAAGTTAATGAGTAAAGCCCTTGGAAAGTGTGGTGGTAGAGGTGGATTTTTGTGAGGTTGGCGCCTTGGTTCTTCCAATCCAGGATCTTGCTTCTGACAGGCCCCAGGGATGGGGAGAGCCTCCTGGAGCCTGGAGATCCTCCTGGCTGAGCTGGGCTCCACGAGGAACACCTGACCTCCAAGGGCCTTTCCTCCCCAGCTCCACTTTGATGGCTGGAGTCACGCCTATGACTTCTGGATTGATGCTGACCATCCAGACATCCACCCCGCGGGCTGGTGCTCCAAGACAGGGCATCCTCTGCAGCCCCCTCTCCGTGTGTACCCTTCAGACACTCTGACCCTCTCCTGCTGATGTCCGCCTCAACCTGCAAGCTCTGACAGTTACCCCCCACCCCTGCAGCTCGCCCGGGGGTTCTGACCGTGCACACGTGGGTCCTAGTGCCCACAGTGAGCTCTGGGATCCCGCACACCCCTGCCTCAGTGGTCTCTGCCACGCTGCGCAGTTGTTGGGTTTAGGGTACTGAGATGTGCAGGGCCAAGCTCACTTGGGAGCCTGTGCCTAGGAGGGAGTTATGCACCCAGGGAGTTATCTCAGCATCCACCAGAGCCACATGGAGCAGACATTATGTTTGCCGAGGAAACCAGGTTTCTTTAAATAAAATCCTGGTCTCTGCAGGAGGGGTTGGAGGTCAGGTCATTGGACTCCTCGGCTCCAAGTCACGTCGGGTATTGATCCTTCTCAGTTATTCTCCAAACCTGAGTAGGGCCCAAAGAAAGTTACCAACGCCTTGAGAGTGAAACAGGGAACAAAACAGAATAATAGGAACCTGCCTGATGCAGCTTCTAAGGTACAGTTGTGCCCACACCAGCTCTGAGTTGATCTTCTCCCAGAGGGTTTTCCTTCTCTCAGGGGCAGAGCATGGCCTGAGATTTCAACAGAATGTACGAGAGCCAAGCCCTCATTCTCGAAAGGGGGCAGATACCCAAGAGCAGGAAATGATGCCACAGTCTAGGGCCCCTGTAGCGGGGGAACTCGCTCCTAGTGCTAACCTTCCCCATAGAAACTGTTCCTTCCCTGCCGTCCCTCCTCCCGTCTCACACCCCCACCAAGGATGCTGTGCTGACTCTTTTCTTCCTGCTGCCCCAGGACCCAGAGAACCCACCTCTGCCTCCCCTGGGGGCTGTCCTCCTCTCAGTTGTCGGAGCTTGCCTCACACTAGGACCTCCAAGTACAACTTTCACCACCGGTGAGTGAAGGGCTCCTGCTAAGAGACCCTCAGGCCTTGTTCAGATCGGGGCTCTTCTACACCTACTGTGTGCAGCCAATCAGGGTTCTCCAGGCCTCTCCCAGTGGGGCTGGAGTGGGGAAGGACTCCGTGGAAACAAGCAGATTCAGCCCAACTTATGCCACCTTCTTCCGCTTCCCCAGGAAGTGCCCCACTCCTGGTTGCGATGGTTCTGGCCACGTCACAGGCAAGTTCACAGCTCACCATTGCCTCTCAGGCTGCCCACTGGCTGAGAGGAACCAAAGTCGACTGAAGGCTGAGCTGTCCGACACGGAGGCCTCGGCCCGTAAGAGGAACCTCTCAGGCTTCTCCCTAAGGAAGAAGTCTCGCCATCATGGCCGGTGCGGAGGGCAAGGGTGCAGGGCCTAGGGTCCTCTCGGGCCGGGCCGGGCACTGATTCCCTGCCACGGACCCGGTCCCTCTCTCTCCAGGATTGGACGCCCTCCGAAGTATCGGAAGATCCCTCAAGAAGATTTCCCGAGTAAGTCCTGGGTCATCTACTCCTATGCCCTCCGCAAGGTGTTCACAGTGAGTGCTTAGTAACTGGTGGGATGAGTCACCAGGGGGACCTAGAGGAGACAGCTGGAAGGGAGGCCACCTCCTCCTCTCAGGCACTGGCAGAGCATAGAGCAGTGGCAGGAACACAGGAGTGTCCACGGGTTCCAGTCCCACTTCTCCTGTGGCCTTGCTGTGGGTCTGCCGGAGGGACTGTGAGCTTCTTTGGGCCTCTGGTTCTCCACTGTGTGGCAGGAGGATGCCCCCAGCCCTGTTCCCCTTGATTCTAGGCCTCCTGGGAAGGCCTTGGCTTTCACTTTCTAGCTGTGCGAACTTAAGCAAACTGCTTAATATCTCTGAGTTGCAGTCCCATTTGAAGACATGAGTAATACTTCCAAGCGTCAAGTACCTGAAATAACAGTAGTTACTAGTATTGTTTACTGAGCACCTACTATGGGCCACGCACTGTTTCAGGTGCTGTACATACACTGTCCCTGACCCTCACATGTAATGGGGACGGCATTCTCTTCTTCTGAGAGAAGAGGAACAGGAAGCTCAGAGGGTGAAGCCGCTCGCCCAAAGCCATTCGGCTCTTAAGGGGCAGAGCTGGGGCGCCTGGGTGGCTTAGTTGGTTAAGCTTCTGACTTTCGCTTAGGTCATGATCTCACGGTTCGTGGGTTCGAGCCCCGCGTCGGGCTCTGTGCTGACTGCCAGCTCAGAGCCTGGAGCCTGTTTCAGAGTCTGTGACTCCCTCTCTCTCTGACCCTCCCCTACTCATGCTGTCTCTCTCCTAGAAATAAATAAAACATTTAAAAAAAAATTTTAAAAAAAAAAAAAAAGGGGCAGAGCTGGCATTCAAACTCAGAGCTCACTCCTGTTCTGTGCTGCTGGCATAACAGGCCGGAAGCGCCTAACCCGGATGTCCACCCACCTCTCCGTCTCCTTTGCCTTAGCTTGGGCACCACAGCCAAGTGCCACAGACTTGGTAGCTTAAACAACAGAAATTCATTTTCTCATGCTTATGGAGGCTAAAAGTCCAAGATCAAGGTATCTGCAGGGCTGCCTTCTCCTGAGACGTCAGGTGGCCGTACTCTCTCTGTGTCCTCATGTGGTCTGCGCTGCATGCATTGTCCTCCAAGTGTCTCCCTACGTGGGTTCGAGGACCCCAGATTGGAGGAGAGCCCACCCGAACAGCCTTGTTTTAACTTAGTCACCTGTTCAGAGACCCCATCTCCAAATACAGTTGGCCCTTGAGCAACAGGGACTTGAGCTGCACACAACCCTGTAAATGTGGCTTTTTGTGATTTTCTTAATGATGTTTTCTTTTCTCTGGCTTCATTTATTGTAAGACTACAGGATATAATACATATGATGTACAAAATATATGTTAATTGACTGTTTATGTTATTAGTAAGGCTTCCAGTCAACGGTAGGCTATTAGTGGTAAAGTTTCGAGGGAGTCAAAGTTACACATGGATTTTTGACTGCGTGGGGTGTTGGTGCCCCTAACCCCCACATTGTTCAAGGGTTAACTGCACAGCCCTGTGCAGAAGTACTGAGGGGTTGGGCTTCAACATATGCCTTTGGGGGAACATGGTTAAGCTCATAACATGCTCCAAAGGGAGGGACAAGGTGAGCGAGCCCTCCTTTGGGTGACAGATTCATCTTACATCTTCAGCACAGGGAGGGCCTGGGGCTCCTGGGTGGCTCAGTCAGTTAAGCGTCCAACTTCAACTCAGGTCATGATCTTGCGGTTTATGGGTTCGAGCCCCACATCAGACTCTGTGCTGACAGCTCAGAGCCTGCAGCCTGCTTTAGATTCCGTGTCTCCCTCTCTCTCTGCCCCTCCCCCTCTCACACTCTGTCTCTGTCTCTCTCTCAAAAATAAACATTAAAAACATTTTGTTTTAATGCAGCACAGGGCCTGATACACAGCAGGAACACTAGGGATCATGCCTTATTTGAGTTGAATGCACATCGTTTTAGGCTAGAAGAGACCATGAGAGATCTCCTGGTTCATTGCACAGTTTCTGGGCGGGACTTAAGCTGTTCCAGTTCTTCAGGAAGAGTCTCTGCAACAGAATCTCAGAGGCTCCGAGAGTGACTGGAGGTGCAGAGGAGTCAGGGTGAAAGGCTGAAGCTAAGGGCCAAAGGGGCAGGGAAGGCCAGTCTGTGAGGAGCGGGGGTCTGGCCCCTGGGGACGGACAGTGGTGAGCTGCAGCCATGTGTCTAGGACTAACACCTAGTGAACAAGAGGGAGGCAGCTCTCCTGGACTGTGGGTAGACAGAGGCAGGACAAGCCCCATGGGACAGTGGCCACACGACCCAAGGCCAGTCAAGGCTGGTAAGTAGGTAGGGGCCAAGTGTGTCAGAGCTGCCAAAGGTAAATGAAGTCCAGGCAGGTGAGGGCAGGCCTGGCTAAGGATGAGGCCAAGCAGAGCAGCGTCACTCATGAGATCGTACAGCGGCCAAGGCTGGAGGCCAGGAGCCAGGACTACGGAGCAGGTCAGGAAGCAGGGTGACAGGCAGCGTGCAGTTGGCGAGGAGTCAGGGATTGCCTTCTAGGTGCCAGAACAGGCTGGGGAGCAGGTAGGGGAGAGGAATGGAGCTGGAAGCAGTGGTGGACGCTTGCGGGCTGGGTTCTCACACAGAATCGCCCTGACTCTGCCAGAGTCAGGGCAGGAAAAGGAAGGCAAACAGAACAGGCTTCTGCTGTTAGGGCTGAGCCGCTGAGATCTCGGAGGCCATCCTGGTACAAGGTATCTAGAGAACAGTCAGGGATGCTACAGCACCCCCTTGTGGGGGCCCCGGGTGCTGCAGCTTCAGAGATGGAGCTGGGTCATTCCTAACAGCCGGCTCAGAGAGTCTGTACAGTGAGGCGCTCACTTCAGGAGGAACCGGGCAGGGGACGAGGAGTCACAGCTCCCTCTCGGCTCTGCAAGACTCTTAGAGGAGGCCCTGGTCCCCCCAAGGGGCATGGGTAGGAGGCCCTGGTCCCCCTGAGGGGCATGGGTCGGAGCAGGCCCAAGGGACCAGCTGAGTCCTCAGCGCCAGCCTCTGCCTCTGCCTTCAGCACTAGCTCCCGACGCCACGCACCAGTCCCTCTTCACATCAGCCCTGTCGGCCCGCCCTGACCGCTCACTGTCCGTGTGCTGGGAGCAGCACTGCAAGCTCCTGCCAGGGGTGGCAGGCATCTCGGCCTCAACGGTGGCCAAGTGGACCATTGATGAGGTGAGAGCAAGGACCCTCCCCATTCCTCTCCCCTGCTTGGCCCTCTCACCACACCACACCCTGACGGGAGGGCTCGGGAAAGGCCCTGGTCAGGCAGAGGCAGGCACTGCACCTGACACCCCTTCCTGCTCCCCCCTCCCGTCCACAGCCCCTCCTGGTGCCCGGCAGGGACTGAGATGTGGGCCAGCAGGCCTGCCCTAGTGGGTGGGGAGAGGGGCATGCTGCTAGCTCGTGTAGGGTCCAGCAGGAGAGACAGGCTTCACCTGGGCCCTCCCTCGCTCACCCAGCACCAGAGATACAAGGATCCTCTTGGGTTGACAAGAAAAAGCAACACTGTCAAAGCCCAGAGAACACCAAGTCCACCTGGGCCCCCCTCTCCCCTACACCCCCAAGTCCCCTTCCCCTTGGCAATGCGTCTTCTTTGGTTTCCAAGGTCTTCAGCTTCGTTCAGACCCTGACCGGCTGTGAGGACCAGGCACGACTCTTCAAAGATGAGGTGAGGTGCAAGTGCAGAGTGGGGACAGAAGGGTCTCTGGGTGAGACTGCAGGGAGCAGGTGGCCTCACCACGCCGCCCCCTCTGCTAGGGAGGGCCCTCTGTCATCCCACCTGCCGGAGGCTGGTCACAGTGACCCACGTCTCTGGGAAAAACGTGGTCTGGACCGTGGCCCAGCTTGCAAACCCTCTGTGTTCAGATCATCCTCAGGAAGGAAAATGGCTCCTGGAGACAGGGCCCCATTCACTCCCCTCTGCTGTCTGCCCAGCTTGTTTTCTAAACCTAGCTTCACAAGGGGACAGCAAGTTAAAGTGTGTCTTGAATAGCACAGGTGTTGCCTTTTACTGCAAGGGTCCTAACACATACTTAAAACCGAGACCCAGAAGCTTCCCAAGGATAAGAAGCCGTGAATTGTGCATAAAAGAACTCCAGCTTTACAGGCAGTGTGGACGTGAACCCCAGTTCTGCTAGTTTGAGCTCTTTATTGTCTCTGAGTTACATCTTCCTGTCTATAAGATGGAGAGAAAGCAGGTATAAGGGGTATGACGATGACAACCGTGCAGGATCATTGTGAGCATTGGACATGGTGAATGGATCACTGTACCAGACGGTCTAGTGCAGCTGTATCACCAGCGTGCTGTAGCGTGGTACAGAAATCATACCACTATGCAAGAATGCCTGATGCAGTGGGGGCTCAGTAGTGGTTCTGATTTTTAATAGTTGTCTTCGAGTAAAGAACTTTACTGTGACTCTCCTAATTTACACAGTCTGAAAACCTGGAAGGGGCCTTGGAGTTTGCTTAGGTCTTCTTTCCAAAGAATCTATGCATCCCCCTTCACCCAGAAACCTGTAGTCTCAGCCCCTCCAGGTCAGGTGCCCAGAAGAAGGAAGTGTGCTCCTCTTCCCCTAGAAGAATCTCTTTATCCAGACCCAACACAGCCAGCCATTTCTTCATAGGACCCTTGCGTGGTGGGGGCCCCACCTTCTCCCCATGTGGGCTGCTTGCCTTGTGGGCTGGTGATCTTACTGTAACGTGTGTCCGCAGCTGTAGCCCGGTTTCAGACGCCTTCTCACCAGCACAGAACACGCCGGTTGTGTCCTCCCTCCCTAGACGTTTTTTTGGTTTGTATTTAAAAGGAGTTTATAGAGCAGTTTTAGGGTCACAGCAGACTTGAGAGGAAGGTACAGAGATTTCCCATACACCCCCAGCCCCGACACCTGCACAGCCTCCCAGTTATCACCTCCACTCAGATTTTTTTTTAATGGCGATAAAAACGTACATGGAACGAAATGCACACATCTTAAAAGTACAGTTCCACAAGTTTTGTGAAATGTGTACACCTGGAACCCAGTGCTTCAGTCAAGACGTAAAACATTTCCATCATACCAGAACGCTCTTTCTTGGCCCCTTTGTGAGCCCCTGCCCTCATGGGCAACCGCTGTTTTAATCTCTAGCACCATCGGTTAGTTTTACCTGTTCTTGAACTTCATATAAATGGGCCCAGCTCCTATTCTTTGGTGTCTTGTCTCTTTTCACTCAGTGTAACGTTTTCGAGGTTCATCCATGTTCTTGTGTATCCGGTAGTTTGTTCATTTGTATTGCTGAGTGGGGCTCCTTTTTATGAATAGCCCACAGTTCTGTTAATGGATATTTGGGTTGTTTTCTCTTCCCCTGATATGAACCCTATGATTTTTTTTAGCAAAATTTAAGTTTGCATGAGCTTTATTACAGCCACATCAGACCAGTTTGGAGGTCATGAAAGTCCCCCAAGTGCCTTTTATATCAATTATCCATTATAGTCTAACCACATCTTCCACTTTGTTACTTGTACCACTGGGTTTGTGTGTTTTTTTTTTTTAATTAACCCAATGTAAAACTTTACATTTATCCCTATTAAATGTTATTTTGTTGGTTTCATAGTCTCATTGTTTTAAATCTTGATTCTGTCATCTCTGATATTAATGAGCCTTTCCAGTCTCAGACAGCTTGTCGTTTGATAACTAAGCCTTCTGTGTTTTAAGCCACACCTTCACCACACGTGTTTCATGAAATAGAACCATGTGGTACCCTTTAGAGGTCTTCCTTTGGTGACAAGAGTCATAAGTGCTCTCTGAGTGCATGCGTCCAGCCAGCCACAGAACCATGCCGGAGGGCCTCCCGCCGCCTCCCCCTGACACCCTCCCCAGAGCACCTACCCCGTCTCATCTCGCAGTTCAACGTGGTCTGTGATACAAAAGGATGGCCTAAGGGGGCGAAGGGTGGGCTGCCAGCAGCAAATGGAGGCTCAGTGGGGAGCAGGGCCTTTGTGAGGGCTGAGGATGATCTTTTCCAGGATCTGCTCCACGGCATCGACTTCCCCAAGGAGGAGCAGGCTCCAGGGAGTGGCCTTTGTCTGGCTGGACTGATGCATTCAGACACACGGTCAAGATTCTCTCCAGCCGGGACACAGACCCGTCATTAGAGGGGGGGTTTCATGAGTGAGAAACTAGAGCAAAGCAGACAGGTGGTCTTAACGGGTAGTCAGACTGTCCAGTCCGGCGGTCAGCACTGATGATCTTAAGGAAAGTCTGCCAGATTCAGATTAAATCACCCATCCCTCCTCCCTGCCCCCCAACCCCCCCCCCCTTAAGAATAAGGGCTCATAGGTGATATCATGTACCTCATGCTGCATCACCCAGACGCACCCACAGAGTCTGCCTGTTCACTCTCAGCTCCGGTGGGGTTATGGGGGGACCGCAACAGCTGGTGTTTTGAGGCCACTGTCAGTGAGGACTGAGAAGATATTATGCAAACACACATTGAAATCAGACTAGTCAGCAGAAAGAAAAGGAGTGTGTGTGCGAGCATGGGGAAACCAGTGGATATCTCTCTTTCCTTCTCTGTCCCCATTGCTGTCTTCCTTTTTTCCTTTCTCCCTCCCTTCTCCTTTCTCCTTTGCCTTCCTCTTCCCGTCTCTGTCCTCCGTCCCTCCTCCCATATCCTTTACTCCCTATTCTCTCTCTCTCCTCCCCACTCCCCACGAATGCCCCACCTCTCCTTCACGCCTTGCCTTCCCCACGGCCCTCTCCACCTTCTCCCCACTTTCCTTCCTCCTCCCTCCCCCAACCCCTCAGATGATTGACGGCGAGGCCTTCCTTTTGCTGACACAGGCGGACATTGTGAAGATCATGAGCGTCAAGCTGGGCCCAGCCTTGAAGATCTATAACGCCATTCTCATGTTCAAAAACGCCGATGACACCTTAAAGTGAGTGGCTCAGGGCTGGGCTCTCCTCCAGCCTGAGCTGGGCCTCCCTCCGCAGCTGATGCTTCCTTCCTGACCTGAATTCCTCATATCCCCCCCTGTACCCCCAACACCCTCTACATCTTACCAGGGGTCCTCCTTCTCTCTGGGGCTGCTTCCTACAAGGTATGTGGAAGCAGAGGAGCCCTTGGAGTCCTGGCCCCCGCGTCCTGGGGCTCATCTGCCACCAGGCACACCAGGGAAGGTGTGACTGGGCTGGAGGAGCATTACCAGTGGAGCAGACTGGAGGTGCCCTGCCTGTGGCAGCCCCACATCTCCAGCTGACTTGTTTTGTCGCCAAAGGGTCTTTCTCAGCAGTTAAGGACAATCTGGTAAAATGGGAGGCCTCCCGTCAGAGGCTCATTTCTCTTCAGCATCTCTCCGTGCTTTTCTGTTCTTGGCTCATGCCAAGAAGTGACCCTGCCACACACATATTCGCTCTGCTGTCTGGTTTCCGGGTGGGGCCTGGGCAATGCCCACCCAGACCCTCTGGCTCTTCCCTCCTCGATGGGTGAGCCTCAGAAACACGTTTTCATAGGCCCACTGGGAGTCTCTGGCTGCCTTTCTCCCTTTTACCCACAAATGGGGGATTCCAAGCCAAGATGCATTCGTAAGCATGCCCAGTTCTGGATCAGCTAGCATTTTAGTGGTCCACGGCAGGTCCTGTTTCCGGCAGAATAGGTGGTTAGAGCCTGTTTTACCTCTGCAGGAAAGGTCAAGGCTCCATGAATGTTCCCCGTATACTCTTCCTCTATCAGGTGTGGGGAAGAGGAGTTCAAGGGTATATCAGACAAGCTCGGGTCTTTGGCCAGAGGGGCAGCTCCGGCAGGCATGATGGTCCCCAAAGCTGGGCCTGGCATCCTTCCCTGCAGCCACGCATCTCAGCCAAGGCACTGCCCGTGGGGTGAGGGCCCCACACCTGCCAGGCCTGTGGCTGTGGGAATGTGCTGCTCTGTCTAGCACACATACCTCACGACATCACATTCAGCCTTTCCCTTAAATGTCTTGCTTTCGTGGAGTCTTACAAAGCCCACTTGCACTTGGGCGTTGGGAAGGTGAATTCCTCTATCTTTGAATTCTCTGTGGCCCATAAGCCTTTCGTACCACCATCTGTCTGTCCTGCACTGCCAGCCAGGTGCCTGCTGGGGGCTCTGGGACTTAGATCTTTCTGTCCAAGTAGGGGCCTGCCCTCCACTGAGCCACTGCCAAACCAGCAGAGGGCCCAGCAGGAGCTGTCCCTACACAGAGGTGAGGAGCAACCGCCAGGCTCCTGTGGCCCCAGGTGCTGAAATGGGCCCGCAGGGTACAGAGCCAGGCTGCTTCCCTCAGTCACGTGGTATGTGTGCACCTAGGGCACACTTGGGAGTGTTCGACAGGTGCAGCTATGAGGCTCGATGTTGGGGAAATGTCAAGGGCTATTATTGTTAAAATATGAAGCTTTATCTTTCCCACTGAAGTGGGGCACTCAAAGTTCTGTCGATTTCCTGCTGCAGTCCAGTAGTGGACTGTCTCTTATGTGGGCTCACACAGCTTTGCCGGGGTAGCCTTGCGGCCACCCAGCTAAACTCCCGTCTGGCTTCAGAGGTTCTTCCCTTCGACCCCCGAGAGGCAGCTCTGAGCACAGGCATCTTGGGAGGAAAGTGGGCAGTCCCTGCCTCTGGCTGATGCTTGAGTTTACAGAGGTCGCGTTGCCCCCTTGGCCAAGAGTAAAGAAGGGCAAGTCTGAGCCTCTCTGACTTGGTTGCTTGGGTGGTGGCAAAACTCACCAGTCCCTTGGCTTTGTCTGCTCCTCTTTGAAACTGGGGAGAGATGCTCACCGGCTTTGTGGTGTGAGGAGAGGGCAGAAGTGTGCACAGCTGTGCTGCAGAACCTCGCCTGTCCCGGGGAGTGGGGCTCGGACAACTTGCCACGTGGATCTACCAACCACACTTCTAGTGCTTGCCCACAGGAAGGGCAAGGTGGACTGAGGTCCTTGAGAAAAGGGCCCCCAGGTTCTGAACTTTGAGACTTCAGCACTTTCTGCACCAACGTCAAACTCTTTGGGAAAAAAAAAACATTAAAAGAGAGAAAGAAATCTGCCCTACTGCCCCTTCACCCCATCCTGTCCCCGGATGAGATCATCGCACCTTGACCTGGGTGCCCAGTGATGGGAGGGGTTTGGCGCCAGTGCCCATGCCATGTGCCTCTGCCCTTCTCTCCAGCAGCAGACACCGCTTACACTTTGGCCCTGGCAGCCGCTCCCAGCCCTTGCCCAGGCCTGGCTTAGGGCACTGAGGGCCTTTCTGTTTAATTTCTGAAGCAGAGAATGATCCCAGAGTTTGAAAATGAAGCCTGTTTGCACTTTCATTCACATGCACTTTGGTGGAATTGTTTTTGTATTTGCCACGTGTGTGTGTGTGTGTGTGTGTGTGTGCGCGTGCGTGCGCACGTGCATGGTTGTGTTCTTTAAGAGAATACTCTGGTTTACGATAAAGTGACTCTTGAGAGAGAAAAAGTTAAAGCTGTGGTGTCTTGTCAGTGTATTGAAACAACATAAATAAACTTGGAACATCGGGATGATATGTAGTCAGAGTCTGTTCCTATTTTCATGGTAAAACATCCAGAAAACATGAAGTATATATCAATAGTGCCATCACTGAAGAGAATAAAGCATTCTCTTTGTTGTTAGGCATCCTTATTCTATTTTAAAGATAAGAAACGAAGGATAAAGATAAATGGATATACCTGTCTCTACTGAGAAATATAAACAATGGGAACCCCCAAAGAATAGTGTGGAAAGGGCCTGATCCTTGACAGTTTAAAAATGGTCCAGGGCAGAAAATTCAATGAAGCCTCCAGTTTTTAAAATAACATTGAACTGTCAGGTAGGGAAATGTCAAGCTGAATGGTTAGACTCAAGTTTCCCAGAGACTGTGAGCAGATGGGAAAGGGGCAGAAATGCCCTGTTCGATCACATCAATCCCTTTCTTGTCAGTATCCTTAATTTCTTTGCCCTGCTGCTCTTCCAGACTACTTAGCTAGAATACCAACCATGGAACTGTCCAAAGCCCATCTTCTCCACACCTGTCCCGGGAGCTTATCTGAGTAAGGATTGGTGCCATGGTTGACTGATGGTCTCTGGCTTTGGTGTAGACCCTCAGGACTGCCCAGGAAACACATGTTTTTTTTGTGGGGGCTATCTTTGATTTCCCCTTTCATGCTCTTCAAACCTCTTGCCCCATTGCCTTCCCTGTTGTCTCAATACATGTGTTCCTCATCTATATCACAGAGAAAATGAAAGTCATCAGGAGGAATACCTCCACCTGCCTGCCAGCTCATCTACCAATCTCCTCCCATTCATTTCCATCCTTACTTCTTTCCTCCCTATTATAGAAGAGTTGATTCTTCCACCTGTAGAAGCTAGTCCTCTACCACCCATGTCTGCTGTAAAAGGAAAAGGAACATTAAGAGATAAGAAAGGACCTTTGGAAATTTAAAATTGATTGCAGAGATAATTCAACATGCAGGTTGAAAGATAAAGTTAATATTACCCGGAAAGTGGAATAAAAAGACAAATGAAAAACGGGAAATAATATTAAA